AAAGGCAAATACTAAGAGAGAACTACTCAATTTGATCAAGGTACGAAAAATTGGATACCTCGGCCATATTCTGAGAGGAAAAAAATACGCAATCCTTCAACTAATCATCCATAGAAATGTTGAGGGCAAGAGAGGAGCAGGTTGCAAACAAATGTTGTGGCTACAAAACATAAAGAACTACACAGGCATAAATAACACTGGCGATCTTTTGCATGCCGCAAAAGACAGACGTCTATCCTTAAGAATTGTTTTGAATTTAAATAAATTTTAATTGTGTTCATTGTTATTGTATATTTAATCTATTTTGTTTACCTACCTTTAAATTAATTTTAATTATTTTAAATATAGTTACAATTTTTATAAAAATCAGTCCATACGAATTCTATTAAAACCTGTTTACCTTCCATGTGTATAAATATTTAATAAATGAGGAGGTTTAAGGCAAAACCGAATAACTCCACATACAACGATTTTTGGAAAAATAGCATTTTTCTGTGACGCAAAAAGTAATAATTATTTTTTTGTTTATCTTGTTCGCAAATACTATTAGAGAAGTCATAATAAACCTTTACTACAATATAAATTTTAAAAAGTGATATTTAGTGCAAAAGAAAATTTAAACAAAAGTGGATTTATTGGATTTTGCTTGAAATAATTGTTTATTAGCAACAATTAACACGAGTATTATTTTTATTACTAATACAAAAAAAAGGCAAATCGCATTTGGTAGACTAACAGCACATACAATTTAAATATAAAGTGCAAACTCTTCTTCTAGACAGTCACACTCATTTATTAGCTATTCTTCTTCTTGAGGTACTTCCTCAGTATGTTCAACTCGATTCTTTTCACATAATAGATTCGTGTACTACAAAAACGTTTCGTCACTTTTCCATTTCTTGGAAAATTGTTTTTCCTTAAGTTGTTGGACACTTTTTATCTTCTGTGGTGGAATAGCACTTCGCAGGTATACTTTTGATAGCAAAAAAATTTTTAATGACTTTCCCCTTTTGTAAATTGCACGCCCATTTTCGGATTGGGCTTCAAATCGATAATGCTGGAAGCATGAAATTAAAATTTTCATTTCTTTAGTTTTTTGAATCTATGTTTTTTCAAATAGATTCTTTTTAAGCCTGACATTCCAACAAACTTACCCTCTTAAATACGGCTTACCAAGTACTGACTTATATACTTTATGATCGTTTACTAGTATATGCTGAGGAAAAAGTTTCCTTCTTAGACAAACCTCAGGTACAAAACAGAGTGTCAATGTCCCTTCAAACACACTGTGTTACGCCAGGGAGACAGTCTATCATGCCTATTGTTTAACATCACGCTAGAAAGAGCCATAGAGAAGAACCAACCAGAGGTACGATTATCAATGGAAATGTACACATATTGGCCTAGGCAGATGACATTGACATAATAACACGGACAAAAAGATTTTGAAACAGGCTTTAGAACCATTAGAAAAAGCCGCAAAGACAATGGGACTGCAGGTCAACGTATCCAAAACAAAATATATGATGGTCACGAACAGCACACAAATGGCGGCACCACAAGATCTGGTGACAGAAGCACACATATTCGAAGGGGTCTCGGAGTTTATATATCTTGGAACAAAACTAAATAACAGCACCTAGTAAGCGTAGAAATTAAGAGAAGAATATACCTGTCGAACAGAGCTTACTTTGGACTAAAGCAGTTCTTAACATCACACATAATTAGCAGAAAAACCAAGATACTAATATATGAAACTTTTATCAAACCTGTCCTGACATACGTGTCAGAGACATGGACTATGGTAAAAAGCGACGAAGAACTGTTAGGCAGCTTTGAAAAAAGAATGCTTAGGCACATATACGGAGGAGTACAAGAAAGCGGGATATGGCGCAGGTGCTACAATTTTGAGTTGTCAATGCTATGGTAAATGCAACATCGTCCGGTCTAAAATTAATAGACTAAGGTAGCTAGGATACCTTGAAAGAATGGACACTGGGGACCCCCCCCCCTCCAAAGACAGGTATTATATCAAGAGCCAGTAGGAACCAGAAAGATAGGCAAGCCAAGATCTAGATTTAAAACTCAAGCCTCGAAAATCAATTAAGGAATCTAGGGGTAGAATCTAATTCTTGAACAGGCTAAGACCCACCCACGGTTGTAGAGCTAAATATGATGATGATTCCAACAATCTTGTTAAGGTAATCTTGTAATTCCTTGATATCAAAAATTTTACATTCTTTTGCACTTCCGTCTTGTGCATAATGGCCAATATATTCTTCTTGAGATATAATAGTTGAATTCGTTCTAAATATTTTTTAAGTCGCCCCCAAAAACTCCATCTACTGGCATAAAACTGTGACCTCTTGCTGGATAGGTAATACAAATTTTGGTGATATTATCAGAAAAATACTTAAACAACCAAAACATTAACATATGAATCAAATGGGAGTTTTGGTTCGGTCCTCCACATCCATCGCAGAACAATCTAATCTGAGTTATATTATCCATTTCCAAAGTTTTTAGGTAATCGAACAAAGTAGATGACACTTATGTAGCCCCCCCCCCTAGTCTGATCTTCGGTCCAAATATAAAACGTTGGATTTAGTCGTCTTGACATTCATTGTTAAACCTTTTTCTTCAATAGCTGTGACTACCTTATTTAAAATGGCTTGTAGGTCTTCTTCTGTCTCCGCCATTAAAACCATATCATCTGCGTATCTAATATTATTAATTGGTTGGCCGTTAACTTTTATCCCAATGTCTTCTTCCTCCAATGCTTTCTTCATAATTTCTTTCGAATAGAGATTAAATAACATTGGTGACAGCACACATCCTTGTCTAACTCCTTTTTTAATTTGAATTTCATTTGTTGTGCTATTTTCGATGCGTGCAACTGCCTTCTGATTATAATACAGAGTAGATATTTTTCTTATATCGCGAGTCTCTAACTGTTTAGCTTTCAAGATCTCCAAAAGTTGGTCATGCTTGGCGTTATCAAACGCCTTGTTGTAATTAATGAAATAAGCAAATACATCTTGATTCACATCAAACACCTCTGTGTCAAGATGTTAAAGGCAAATAATGCTTCGCGAGTTCCATATCCCTCCCGGAATCCAAACTGAGTTTCTCCGATATCTTCTTCCAATTTTCTGTAAATTCTATTGTGAATTATTTTGAGGAATCTTTTTAAGGTATGGCTCATCAGACTGATCGTGCGATGATCACTACACTGCTTAGCATGTGCCTTCTTGGGAAGAGGAACAAAGGTTGATCTTAGCCATTCTTCAGGAATTATACTGTTTTCATAAATCTTGTTAAATAAGTTTACTAACAAATGGATTCGATCTTCGTCTATCAATTTGAGTATATCTGTTAGTAGCTCGTCTGGTTCTGGAGTTTTGCTATTTTTGGATGACTTCACCGCTTGCATTACTTCTTCTTTGCTTATTTCTGGACCGGTCTCCTCTGGAAATTATCACAAGGAGGTGCCTTTGATCGTCAAACAGTTCTTCTATGTATGTCTACCAATGTTTTAGTTTTTCCTCTGTTTCCATTATCATGTTCCCTTGTTGATCTATAAGTACTGTCTGCTTCCTGTTTCTATTGTTGATCATTTCTTTAACTTTCTTGTGAAGATAGAACGAATTATATTTGGCTTCCAAGTTTTCAATCTCCTTACATTTGTCTTGTAGCCATTGTTTTTTAGCGTCGCTGATTTTTCTTTTGATATCTGTGTTAATTTACTTATACTGTTCTTCACTTTTACCTTACGATAGTCTTCGAGAATTCATCAATAACAAAATTTCGTCACTCATCCATTCTTTCTGTTTCTTTGGTTTTTCTTTGTTCAGAATATTTTTAGCGGGCTCCAGCACGTTCTTTTTAATAATAGCCCAGTGTTTAGTTCCCTGAAATCTTCTCTGTCTTTTCAAGTTTTTCAAGATTTACCTGAATGCTTGTTTCTACCTAATGTTTAATTGTTTTATTCTTTAAACGATTGATATATATTACTTGTTTAGGCTTAGGTGTTTGTACACTTTTAAGTTTTATTCGGAATTGTGCCACTACTGAATTGTAGTCTGACCCTATATCTGCTCCTGGATACGTTTTCCCAGATTTGATTGTGTTTTATTGTGTTAAGACTACTATTACTTAACAACTATTAATTTTACTGCAAATATAAAAACAATATATACCTATATACGATGTATACAAGAACCTTTTGAGTAACCTGCCTCTATCCCAAAATGACCTATACTAATCTAAACCTAATAATCCTACCTTTCATCTTTTCCTCTTAGCTTTTTCGGGGCTTCTTCCACAGTTACTGACTCACCCAAAAAATCTTTTTCCATATCATTTATTTAACAGTACCTCTGCTACTGAAACTTGTATAAAACTATGTATATTATTTAAAAACCGCTACTATAAAACAGTTTAAACCAGAAACCAGAAATAAAATACATAATCTACAACTGCCACCCCATGGTTATGTTGTTATATATGTTTACACTACTGCACTGACTACTAAACAAAAAACACGCGGTCGCTCCAGTCAATGCGTAAATTTGTATAAGTGTATCAACGACAAAATGTCTGACCACGCATATTACATCGTCACATCTCTAATAACTCGCTACTACAGCTATTGCTTGAATTACATATTTGCGTAAGAAGATAAAGTAGGAAATGTCTTTTTTGAATTTACTTGGTTTTGAACAAAAAGTGGATTTATTCGGTTTAGCATGGAAACATTAATATCACTATTAAAATTCTTCTTCTTCTTCTTCTGCTTCTTTTTATATAGACATGACCCTGTCTGTTGTTCAATGTGCCTCCAGTAAGTTGTCGTCCTATCGTTTTCGTGATCTCTCTACTGATCCTCTTCCTATTGGGGAACCGTCTGTTGCCGTCTTTACTACTCTATTTGTTGCCATTTGGTTTATATGACCGTTCTATTCTACTCTTCTATTTCTTACTCAGTTTTTAATGTTCTCCACCTACGTCGTATATCTGTACTTCTAGCTCTGTCTAATAGTGTCTTACCATCAATGTTTCTTTATCTTTTTTATCTCTGCTGTTTCTAACATCCTTTTTGTCATCTCTGTGTCAGGTTGTGTTTCTGCGGCGTATTTCATAATTGGTCTGATGACCGTTTTCTAAATTATGCTTTTGTTTCTTTTCAGATATTTTTATTTCTCCATATTGTTTTATTTAGGCAGCCTGCGGCTCTGTGTGCTCTATTCACTTGATCTTTCACTTTAGTTTCGAGCTTTCCAAAGCTAGATAATGTAAAGCCTAGAATATTTAAACTCAATCACGTGTTCTATCATCGGATCTTCCAGCTCCAATTTACATCTTAGTAAATTTGCTGGTGTAACCATGCATTGTGTCTTTTTTGGGAAAATTAACATGTTAAATTTTCTGGAGGTTATATGAAATTGGTGCCGTATACGTTGTAAATCATCTTTACTTTGAGAGAGTAGTATTGCGTCGTCTACATAGCGGATTATTTTAAGTTGTTTTTCTCCCATTTGGTATCCTTTTTTAACTTTGAAAATAAGGCTATTATCGAGCACAAGTTAATTAAATCTAGCCCAAGTACTTTCGCTTAAAATAGCATCTTCAGGGGCATCTGAAATAAGCCAAGAAAACGTTTTTTAGATGAAGTAAATTAGTTAACTTCGATAAAAAACTCGATGAAAATAAAAAAAAGTTTTTGAGATTAACGTTTTAGACTTACTTCGTCAAAATGTAAACTATCCGGCAAGCGTAGAATGTGGAAGCATTAAAAATAACATAAAATTGTACAAAACACTACACTAAAACGAGGACAAACAGTTTAAAATTACTTAAAGATTCTACGCTACATTTTCTGTCAGTATCTGGAGGGATAATGATCTAAGCGGAAATGATACGGTGACATGTGACATATGACAACTTTGATAGGCAGTCAAAGTTATGGATCTGTGATCAGCAAATATTAAAATTCTGTATAAGTTGTCATTGGCCAAAGGTCCAACTAGAACTACTACTGAAAAAATCAGCTGATGAAGTATGACATATAGAATATTTTGATCTAAACTAGATTGCATAATCCAGATCTCACACTCACACCCGTCTGTAATAATAAGGTTGTAGGTTTGAGGCTAAATCAAGTGTACATAAAGTGTGAATGAAAGAAATGTACACTTCATTTAGCCTCAAACCTACAACCTTATTATTACAGACGGGTGTGAGTGTGAGATCTGGATTATGCAATCCAGTTTAAATCAAAATATTCTATATGTCATACTTCATCAGCTGATTTTTTCAGTAGTAGTTCTAGTTAGACCTTTAGCCAATGACAACTTATACAGAATTTTAATATTTACTGATCAAAGATCCATAACTTTGACTGCCTATCAAAGTTGTCATATGTCACATGTCACCGTATCATTTCCGCTTAGATCATTATCCCTCCAGATACTGACAGAGAATGTAGCGTAGAATCTTTAAGTAATTTTAAACTGTTTGTTCTCGTTTTAGTGTAGTGTTTTGTACAATTTTATGTTATTTTTAATGTTTCCACATTCTACGCTTGCCGCATAGTTTACATTTTGACGAAGTAAGTCTAAAACGTTAATCTCAAAAACTTTTTTTCATCCATTAACTTCGAGTTTTTTATCGAAGTTAACTAATTTACTTCATCTAAAAAACGTTTTCTTGGCTTATTTCAGATGCCCCTGAAGATGCTATTTTAAGCGAAAGTACTTGGGCTAGATTTAATTAACTTGTGCTCGATAATAGCCTTATTTTCAAAGTTCATTTATTCGAGCATTCAACCTCATTTCATTTATTCTTTTTTAGTTTTTATTATTTCTACTATAGAGTACTTAGTTTTGATTATTCCTAGAGATATCTCTCTTGCGTATACAACGTCTTTTAATTTGATCCGACCAAATGCCTTCTTAAGGTCCACGGAACATAAATATGCCGGTTTGTTGTATTTTAATGATTTCCTTTGCACTTGCCTCATTATAAATGTAGCATCGGTGCATGATCTTCCCGACCTAAAATCTTGTTCTTCTGCTAGTGTTATAATTTCATTCAGTTTATTTGTTATCACTTTGGTTGTTAATTTTAGTATTGTGTTTAATAAATTAATTCCTCTATAATTTTTCGGGTCTGATTTGTTTTCCTTCTTGAAGAGAGGTATTAACATGCTTAATCTCTATTCTTGAGGCATTCTCTTTTGTTCTATTATTTTTTGGATTAGTTTTAATAGGTTTTTGGTTAGATCTGGTCCTCCGTACTTTAGGAGTTCATTCGGTATCTGTCCCCTCCTGGTAATTTTTAATTTTTTAATTTGAGGGGTATAGAAGCAAAATCCGCCAAGTCAAATCTATCAAAATTTTCAGGAAACGTGAAAAACTATTACAGAGGACTCCTGTGATAGTTTTAGTTTTCTGCACTCCATTTTCGTTTTTAACATTCTCGTCTTTAACATTCTCGTTATGTTTTGTTTAATGCCGGTTATTACATTGTCTATTCGAGCGTTAGAATCCCATAACATTATCATCTTCCCTCTGACTTGATCTACTACTTGTTGTATTTGGTCATAAAACGCTTTCCTTGTTGTTTGAGGCTTGTTGTTTTCTGAGCCGTATACTCCGATGATGTTCAGGTCTTCCTTCTCCATTCTTATCTTTGCTGTTCATGTACCATTAAAATTCAGTAGGATTTATTCGTTTTTGCACATATATTTATATTTTTCCATATGGTGTAATTTAGCAAAATAAACCGATATTGGCCACTAATGAAATTTTCGTAAAAAGTAGATTGTTTGAAACCCGCTCAAATTCCAATTGACGCTGTTGATTTGAAAGCTGAATTTGTTATTAATTAGTTGGATATAGTAGCTCGATTTTGTGTTTCGTTCGGATGGTCATAATCTTTAATATCGTGTAATTGTCTAAAGCAAAAGAGACTTTTACTAATTTAAATTTTTGTTTAAGAGCAACGAGCAGTTCCAGGAGTATCGTAATAACAGAAGCAACAGCTTTGTTAGAGATGGTGTTCTGCACATAAGACCTACTTTGCTCGCTGATGAAAAAGGAGAAGAATTTCTTTACAACGGAACGATTAATCTTAATGGAGCCTTCCCGAATGAACAGTAAGTGTGAATAAAATATTTTTGCTTTTTAAAAATTAATTTTATTTAATTAAGACCGTGTTAGGATTACCTGAAACAATACCGAACAGAAAAACCACCAACGAAACTCTATAGAAGAATGAAAGAGACATGGATCTCTGAACAAAAGCAACAGTTAGAAATTATGAGGACAACAAGAGACTGTTCGAATATATAAAACAACATAGTATCAAAAAACCTCATCAAAAAAGTCTAAGATCCAATTTAAGTAAGACCTTTACCGATCTATTTAATAGATAAAAAATATTTGATAGGTAATTTAGTATGTTAAAAATTATAATTAGCAAGAGGTGCACGATATAATTTTGTCCAGACTATGATTCATCATCATCATCATCACACAGCCAAATTTGTCCACTGTCGAACATAGGCCTCCTCAAGATGTCTCCACTCTTCTCTGTCCTGTGCAGCTGCGATCCAGTTTGTCACTATTCTTTTAATGTCGTCCGTCCATCTGGTAGGTGGTCTTCCACGATTTCGCTTGTCTGCCCTTGGCCGCCATTCTAACATCTTCTTTGTCCATCTGTTGTCTCTCTGTCTTGCGACGTGTCCTGACCATTTCCACTTCAACTTCGTAATCCGTTTTATGACGTCTTCCACTCCAGTTCTTCGCCGTATCTCATCATTTCGTATTCGGTCTCTCAAAGTTACGCCAAGCATAGATCTTTCCATTTTTCATTGTGCTACTTGTAACTTTTTTATTGATGCTTTAGTCAATGTCAGTGTTTCAGCTCCATAAGTGAGCACCGGAAGTACGCACTGGTTAAATGCTTTTCTCTTTAGCTTTATTGGGATGTTTTCCTTAAACACGTCTTTTAGCTTGCCATAGGCTGCCCATCCTAAAGCTATTCTTCTAGATAATTCGCATGTTTGGTTGTCTCTACTTATTTGTATTTCGTGGCCCAGATATATGTATTTGTCAACCGTTTCAATATGCCAGTTTTCTAGTTTCAATGGTCCACTAGGTACTAAGTTGGTCATCATTTTAGTTTTCGCAAAGTTTATTTCCAGCCTTACTTTTTGGGAGACTCGTTGTATATCTTGTAGCATTTCGTTGGCCTCCTTTAAGTCGTCGGTTATTAGAACTATGTCATCTGCAAATCGTAGGTAGTTCAGCCTTTCGCCATCGACACTCAAACCTCTGTTTTCCCATTCTAACATCTGGAATGCATGCTGCATTACGGCATTGAATAGTTTTGGTGACATGTTGTCTCCTTGTCTAACTCCCCTTTTTAGTTTTATTTTTTGAGTAGGGGTGTGGCGGTTTATTGCTGTTGTGGCATTTGCATATATATGTTGAATAATGCTGGTATATCGGTAGTCGATTCTACAATCTCTCAAAGCTCTTAAGATAGCCACCATCTCGATAGTGTCAAAGGCTTTTTTATAGTCAACAAATACTAGAACTAGTGGCCGTTTGTACTCTATAGTTTTTTTAATTAGGGCCTTTAGACAAGTTAGATGGTCATTTGTACCATACCCAGGGCGGAAACCTGCCTGTTCTCTTGGTTGGCATGTTTCTAGTTTGTTCTCAATTCTGGCAGTGATAATTCGAGCAAATAATTTATACAGGTGACTTAGAAGACTGATTGGCCTATAGTTTTCGAGGTCTGTTTGAACTCCTTTCTTATGCATGAGGAGCGTTATAGAATTATTCCATTCAGCTGGTATTGCTTGGTTTTCTAAGCATATATTGAAGAGCTGCTTGATTGTCCTGATGAGAGCAGAGCCTCCGATTTTTAGCGCATCCGCCACTACTCCATCTTCTCCTGGTGCTTTGTTTTTTTTTCATTTTCTTTAGAGCATGGTAAATTTCAGCCGTTGATATGTCGGGAATATCTTCTGAACCTTGATTGATAATTTTTTGTTCTGTATGTTCTGTCGGGTTTAAGTCCAATTTATTTGTGTATAGTGTTTTATAGAAGTCTTCTCCTATCTCTAGCATTTCGTCTCTGTTGGACGTTAGTTTGCCATTCTTTCCCTTAAATCTGATGATTTCTTTTCTGCTGTCAATTTCCTTCTTAATATCTTCATGCTCTTGTTGTGCTCGATTGTCTGCGAGATTTTCTCATTTTTATATGCCCTTATGTCCTTTCTAATTGCTTTTGAGACCTCTTTGTTGATTTTATTTATGCTTTGCTGTTCTATACTCTTATCTTTTAGCATTTCTCTCTCTTGTTACCTGTACAACATTTTCTTTGAGCTTCTGCTATGGTATTTGTAATTACTTTATTTAGCTGATTTATATCATTTGTGGGGGGCCTGTTTTGTAGACGTACCGTTATTTGATCTGCAAACTCTGTTTCATTTTTTGATTGTGACCATGCTTTCAATTTTTTTCTTTCTTATTAGTTTATTTCTCTCTTTATCGATGTTAATTTCTATTCTAGCGCGAACCATTCTGTGATCACTTCCTGTTGTGAAGCTGTTGAGTATAGTGACATCTTTAACTATAAATTTTTTATCTGTTATTATATAGTCAATTTCATTTTGCGTTCTCCCGTCCGGGCTTCTCCATGTCCACCTTCTATGTTGTTTTTTTGTAAAAGAAGCTATTCATTTGATATAATTTTTTCTGAAGGAGATAGTTTAATAAACATTGTCCGCTTCTGACAGTATTTATTCATCTTAAGTAATTTATAAGTCAAGGTTTTGTCCCCCCCCCAGAATCCTTGGGACAGACTGATAAATCAGTGTGAGATTCTGGATTCATCCTACTCACCTGGGGTAATGAAGTTTTAAGTCTTGACATTATTTGAGGGGATATGGCAAATAAATCACCACGCTTGCCATGCGGGTTGGTGAGTGAAGAGTGTGTAGTAGAAAGAAATATAGTGACCCGTCTGCCTTCGGAAACCTAATTGCCATTCGGGGTCGGAAGAAACAAGAGTTAGCCAAGAGAGGCTGATAGGAAAGATTAAAGACATTTTACTCAAGACAAGTTGAAAAAGACTAAAATGTGAAGGCCCTTATGATCCGCCAGGTGCGTTTCATAAGCGTATGAGTATTGATACACCTTGTATTTCCGCTCATACTTCGGGGAGTTGACTACAGACTGTATGGCTCGTCCAGCATGCCATAGCATGCCATAGCAGACTGTGATTAAGAATTGTTAATTAAAAAATGATATTAGATATTTTATTGAGTACAAAAATTTTATTATTCTAAACGTTTTACAAATGTAATATAAATATTACATTTGTAAAACATTGATTTCAATTAGTGATTTTATTGTACTTTTGATTCATCTGAACTAAAATTTTTATCATTTTCTTCGCTACATTCGCCACTATCTTCGGTCATTTTGAGAATGGCTTCACTTTCAAAAGCGTGGTTTCCAATAAACCCTGTTGATTTTAAATAATCATCTAAATGTTTTCAGGTTTGAGTTTTGTAAATTCCGACTCAGTTGCGGTAAGTCAGATAGAATTAACAAAGATAGTTCTTCAATTTTTTTGTTGAAAAGACTTCTAGCACCGTGGTATAGTGATGAAGTCAAAACTTTTTTTTTAATTATTCATTGTATTCTTTCGCAGCATAAGTTTTTATAAAACTACGATTTCTACGATTATTACTTTGTTGCAATTATCCACTGAATAAATTTTAGCTTTTTAGTTGCTGAACAAGCTAACCAAATTGCGGATTGTGAAATTGTGTGCATCTTTCCCGACCAAACCACCAAAACATCAGTATTCGAAGCTTTAAAATTCTTCTTTACGAAGAGGTATACACTTCTTCGTAATAACATGTAAAATAAGTATCAGTTTTTTTAATGTAAGTGTTTTAGGGGCTTTGTATAATTCGCTGTAGAATTCCGGTATTTTTGTTCGTTATAGCAATGATTTACTTCTTACCAATGATGAATACTTTCCTTAATACTTTTTCTGACTGTCTTACAAAGTTCTGTGTATTGTATCCTTAGTATTGATGATTACTTTCATTTCCCTTCTTTGTTTAAGCATTATTTTGGTTTTATTAGACAGTTTTCTATGTCATTTTGTTGTTGCGGCCTCCGATTTCTTTGGCTCTATCAAGGATCTTCTTTTTCTTCTTCTTACGGTGCCTATCCGTTCCGAATGCTGGCGATCAACATGGCTATCCTAACTTTGCTTGCTGCTATTCTGAATAGTCCGGTTGTCGATGTATTAAACCACTTTCTCAGGTTTTGAAGCCAAGATATTCTTGTTCTCCCTGGTCCTCTCTTTCCAAATACCTTGCCCTGAAGAATGAGTTGCAACAAGCCGTATCTGTGTTCATTCCTCATAACATGGCCAAGATATTCTAGTTTTGATGGTGTTAATAATCTCGCATTCCTTGCCTATTCTACGTAGGACCTCAACGATCCACCCATGAAATTCTGAAGATACGTCTGTAACACCACATCTCTAATGCCTCCAGTTTTCTTAAGGAAGCTTCAGAAAGTGTCCAGGCCTCTACTCCGTATAATAAGGTAGAAAATACATAGCATCTAATGAGAGAGATTTTGGTAGCAAGTGGTAAATCATGACTTCTGAAAAGGATCATTTTTGTTAATTGAGAGCTGTCCATTTGGTAATGTAGTCGTTCATCAATTGTCCTTTGGTAGTGATCTGAGTTTTTGTTTAGATTAATATGTATACCGGTTACTTATTGTATATACATATATATTCTGTTAGAATGCTTAACAAACCTTATACTTAAAGGCGGGTATTTGACTACAAAACCCAAAACATCTATATTTTGGGTTTTGTAGTCAAATATTTTATTTAATAATTATTTTCATATTCTGGCATATTTTAGGTGTACCATTCCTGGATATGATGGCTGCCTTAGAACGGGAAACGACACTATAATACTAAATCCTATTAAAAGTGTCAGAATCCATACTGCATATTCTTTCTCTTTTAAATATGGGAGAGTAGAAGCCAAACTCAAAGCCCCATTGGGTGACTGGCTATGGCCAGGTAAGAGATGATAAATTTAATTTAATATGATATGAATAAATTTTAAAATGCTCATTTTAGCGACATTGGTAAGGTTAAAAAGCGACAGTGGCAATAATATTAAGCTGCGCAAATCCATAACAGTAAATAACACTTGACAGTAACTAACACTGCGCAAGTATGTCGTACGCCACGAAATGAATGCCGAGCTTACGCTTGTTTCGCCGCGCCGAATATCTCTATCTTCTAATATGTATTTCTATCAACGGCCGGTCAGAGCAGTCAGTTAACTTACCTAGTTTGTTCATGTATATGTTACGGTTAAATTTCGGTTAAAAACGGTTAATCTTGACTTTAACCAAAATTTAAAGTTATTGTCGTACTAAATGTTGAATGTGTTGAGAAAATAATACAACGTTGCCAATTGTTCAAAAAATACCTGCTATTTATTTAAACATGACAAACTTCCGTGACAATTAGAGTTGCATAAAATATTAGCTGCCTTACAGTAGCACTTTTTTCAACCATATTTTGTTCCACTTGTTTCTTTTTGAACCAAAAGAGATTGTTTAACAACTGAAACTTTTTCTGTAGCAATGAGGGGAGCCGGACATACACTGAACTGGTTTCGTGTGAATAATCGTGGTAATGTGCCCTTTTCTGTCCCGATTTTGCAATAAATGTTATCTTCAACTGTCATAACAACGCGTAATATATTTCTTGCATCAGCTCATTCTCTATCAATATCGGGGACAGGTAATCTAACAGTATCAAAAAATTTTTGCAGCCGGAAATAACCTATTGGAATTTAGTTTTTTTTTTTTTTGCTTGTTGAAGCAAACTATCTTTTGCTTGAAATCTATTTTCGATAATAATTTCTTTTGGCAACATATTCTTCTTCTTCTTCTTCTTTATATAGACATGAATCTGTCTATATAAATGAAGTGTACATAAAGTGTGAATGAAAGAAATAGACCAAACGATCTATTGGACAGTGGGTAGTTGACTACAATAAAATGGTCTACCAGGCACTGTCAATACTGCAAAACGAGAAGAAAATTGACTATGAAATTGAAATATTAAAATTAGATCAGAATTGAAAGCAGTGTGTTATTATATGTGTTATTATATGCGTGAATAGTTTTGTGACCAGACGGGACCGGTTCGGCGCCGGCACTGTGACAGGACTGATGTGTTTGAATCGACCCTTACTACTCTATTTGATGTCATTAGGCTTACATGATCGTTCCATTCTACTCTTCTATTTCTTACCCAGTCCTTGATGTCCTCCACCTTCCATCTACGTTGTATATCTGTACTTATAGCTCTGTCTCATAGTGTCTTAAAATCTAAGTGTGTTTATTTCGGCTGTTTCTAACATCCGTGAATCATTAAAATACAACAAACCGGCATATCTATATTTCGTAGACCTTACGAAGGCATTTGACCGGGTCAAATTAAAAGACGTGTTCCACTTACTGTACGTAAGAGAGATACCTTCAGGAATAATCAAAACCATCGAAAATATCTACCAAAACAACACAATAAAAGTAAAAGTAGAAGAACTAACCGACCCTATTGAAGCTGGCAATACGGCAAGACAGGGAGATTCGTTGAATCATCTATTGTTCAACTTGATTATGGATGAAATAATAAAAAAGTAAGAACTAAAAAAGGATACCAAATGGGAGAAAAACAACAAAATAATCTACTGTATAGACGACGCAATCCTACTCTCTCAAAGTAAAGATAATTTACAACGTATGCTGCCCCAATTTAATGTTACCGCCAGAACATTTAACATGATAATTTCCCCAAAAAAGACAAAATGCATGGTTACAACTAGGGATGGGAAAAACCTACCGGTTTTAACCGAAAACCGGTTTTTTTACTTCGAAATAACCGGTTTTATCGGTTGTTTTTTTGTCCCGGTTATAACCGGTTTTTTATTTTTAAAGTAAAAACCGGTTATTAGGTTTCATTCGATGTAAAACTATTTCATTTCTTATTGGATCAACCCAACTTATCCAAAATACTCGTCGATAAATCCACATCTCAAAGGCCTCTAATTTTTTCATTAATGTGTCTGTAAGGGTCCAGCTCTCCATACCATACAGCAATATGGATAATATGTAGCAGCGTATTAATCTGATTTTAAGGTTTAACGTAATATCTCTATTAATTAGAATTTTCTTCAATTTAGAGAAGGCGGCTCTGGCTTGTTCAATGCGTATTCTTATTTCTTTATTTATTTTATTTATATCCCAGATATCGTTAACGTTTACACCTAAGTAGGTAATATTGTGGACTCTTTCTAACTCTATTCCATACGCTCTGATGTTCGTTGGTTGTAACTCTAAAAGTCTGTATAAACAAACACATTGCACACGATACATACGTAACTGTTCGTTACGTTACGTAGTTAAATTCGTTTAAACCTTTAAATGTTCCTTCGACTTTTGGGTTAACTGAAGGAAGAAGATTTTTACAGAATACCCGGATTGTTGTTTTTATTTTGAAGTTCGTTTGTTTCATCGATTTCTGTCGTAATTGGGGGAATAATATTTACAGATTTCTTGGAATGGTTGGTTTCGTTTGGTACTTCATATTTGTCAGCGACGCCGACGTCTGTGATAACTGGAGGAATAATGTTTACAGACGAGCTAAATTTGTCATTTTCATTTGGTATGTTTGAACTAGTTATAAAAGTTGTACCTATAAGTAATAAAAAACGAATCATTAATAACAATACATAATTATTTACTACTCATAGCTTTACACGATACCTGTAGTAGTTCTCTTATCTGACCATGGTAGAAATGGGAGTACCTGGAAAGCTGGTACGATTAGCACAGGTGAGCACAGACAACGCTTCCGCACGGATCAGAATTGACAGCATCACAGGAATTTCTCATTGACTCCGGGCTTAGACAAGGAGATCCTCTCGCCCCCTGCTATTTAATTTTGCACTGGAACATGCGGTAAGGTAAGCTCAACCACAACTGACAAACGGATTTGCCGCCCAAGGATCAAAAATACTATTGGCGTTTACGGATGACGTGGACACAATTGCACAATCCACCAGAGATGTAACCAAAGATTTCACCCTATTCGAAAGCGGAGCCAAGGAAGTTGGTCTGAAGGTCAAAAAGGACAAGCCCAAGTGCATGGTGGTTACGAAAAACCCAAGGCCAAGGGTTAGACAAAACGTAACAATCAATGAATACAACTTTGAAGTTATTAATGACCATTTGATATTACTTATTAATGACCATACTTAAATCAAAAATACTTTCAATACCAGTACAAATAAGAGTGAACGTATGGAAGCGAGACATGGGCTCTGAACCAGTGGGAAACGACAAAATTACTGCCACTGGAGGAAAGAAAGATACTGTGGACTATCTATGGGCCTTGTAGAGAAGAGACAACAGGAGAATGGAGAAGAAGATACAACGATGAACTCTAGACAGTATTCTTCTTCTTCTTCTTACGGTGCCTATCCGTTCCAGATGTTGGCGATCAACATGGCTATCTTAACTTTGGTTGCTGCTATTCTAAATAGTCCGGTTGTCGATGTATTAAACCACTTTCTCAGGTTTTGAAGCCAAGATATTCTTCTTCTCCCTGGTCCTCTCTTTCCAAAAACCTTGCCCTGAAGAATGAGTTACAACAAGCCGTATCTCTGTTCATTCCTCATAACATGGCCAAGATATTCTAGTTTGCGCTCTTTGATGGTGTTAATAATCTCGCATTCCTTGCCTATTCTACGTAGGACCTCAACATTAGTCACACGATCCACCCATGAAATTCTTAAGATACGTCTGTAACACCACATCTCGAATGCCTCGAGTTTTCTTAAGGAAGCTTCGAAAAGTGTCCAGGCCTCTACTCCGTATAAGGTAAAAAATACATAGCATCTAATGAGAGAGATTTTGGTAGCAAGTGGTAAATCATGACTTCTGAAAAGAGACTTTATTATTATGAACGTTCATCTCACTTTTCCTATTCGTTGTTTTATTTCACTGAAGTGATCCCATTGGCTGTTAATGTTGGTACCAAGGTATGTGTAGCTGTTCACCCTGTCAATTGGATGTTGGTTAACCAAAAGCTGTGTATTTAATATTTCGCGCTTACTGACTACCATGTAGACAGTATATGGATATGAAAATATAGTACGCTACATTAAAGCAAACCGAATAAGATGGGGGGCAACTTACTAAGATCGAGTGGCGAAATACTCCTGAACGCCACACTCTGGGAAAGGCCCGATGGCAAAAGGTCAGTTGGTCGCCCAAGAAAGGGATTAATTACTATTAAACTGGGAATAAGCCACAATTAAAGATAAAAATACGTTTATTGACGTTTCAATTTCCACTTCGGAAATCGTTCTCAAAATACAAACAGTAAATTAAACAAATTTTGTTATACGATAGAGCCAAAATTACTTGTTCTAATGAAAATTCGTTCTTGGAGGAGAAACATTTGTTAACATCTGTTTTATTAAAAAATGATTATCCTTTATCGTTTATAAATAAGGAATTTTCAACAATCGATCGAATAGAACAGAACAACTTAGAACGAGATCCTACAGCATACACAAGGAATAATATGAGGAAAATAACAATACCGTACATAAAAGGACTATCAGAAAAACTTAAAAGGATAGGAAATAAATTCAACATTTTAACAACATTCAAAACAACAAACACGTTGAGATCTATTTTGTCCAAAACCAAACCTAACAATGAACAAGAAAGGACAAAGAATTGCATTTATAAAATACCTTGTGAATGCGATCAGTTTTATTTAGGTGAATCATCAAGGCCATTAAATGTTAGAATAAGTGAACATCAATCTTATATTAAAAATAAAGAATTTGATAGATCTCAAATCTGTAAACACGCATGGGATAATGAACATAGGGTTCAATGGAGTAATTCAAATGTAGTCCTAAAAGAAACGGATGGTAAAAAAAGAAAAATCAAAGAAGCGGCTCTAATTATGTTAAATGAGGCTAATTGTGTCGCAAATTCTTCGGCAGAATGTAGTAGGATCTGGTTACCAATATTGAAAGAGGAAGTTCTTAATAAGAAAATACCAGTATTAGTAAGTCAGTAACATATAGAGGATACATCATTTATGTTTTTTAAATAACGTAACATATAAAATCAGAATTTTGATGTTTGTTGAAGGTAAACTAAATTCACGAACAAATACTTACAATGTCGGGATAGTATTATGAGGTTTTTTCCTGGTTTTCCCTCATAATTTACTATGGAATCACTAACAGGAGAATTTTTACTGTCATCATGTCATGTGTTTGTCTTTTTAAAGACGAATTACATGCTATGATTTTTTCTGACGGATATTCTCAAGTTAAAGTTGATTTCATGTAATCGAATGAACTATCTTATAAGTAAAGTCGTCCCAGGAGCGCAACTCAACAATATTGGCAATATCATTTTAAAGTCGTCTACTTTAAAATGCATAATGTATGTCTGAATTGTCAATATAAATGAGTCAGATAAAATTAAATTATTAGAAGAATTTTTCACTATGTAACAAAAAACAAAATTTGTTTAATTTACTGTTTGTATTTTGAGAACGATTTCCGAAGTGGAAATTGAAACGTCAATAAACGTATTTTTATCTTTAATTGTGGCTTATTCCCAGTTTAATAGTAATTAATTACAATGCCACAAGAAAATAGCTTCAGAACAATATCAAGAAAGGGATGGAAGGACGCAGTAACCAGTGATCTACGCAAAATTGAAATACAGCAATGGGAAATAGCTGCTCAGGACCGACAACAATGGAGGAAAATAGTAAACGCGGCCAAGACACATAAAGTGTTGTAGAGCCAAATGATGATGATGATATAACTGATATCGTTCTGCCGCTGTATTACCTTTAAATGCTATTTGTTAACGTTAACACAATCTCCATTTGGTTTTTCGCTAGGCTAGTGAAAATTATATGAAACTGTTAGTACGCATTAACAATGTACAGCTGTAGTGACTTTTATTTTTAAACAGGATACAAGCTAGTACAGATCGCGGCGGGCATACTATATACTTAATAGTTTATGCAGTCTTTTGTATAAATAATATACTTACTATGGTATTCACGACAGGTGGGTGAGAGTGCAAAATCTACATTCTATTCGTGTTATACAAAATACACAAATCACCTAATAAAATATTTTAGAAAATTTCATTGTTGTACAGTATGCAAGTCGTAACAAGATTCTTTTATTTTTCTAACCTTCATAATTTAAAGTTTTATATAAGTATTATAATCAGCATTTTTTATTTTAGCTCTGTGGATGAAACCAAGATACAACGATTATTCAACCTGGCCTAGTTCGGGTGAAATAGACCTTATGGAAAGCCGAGGAAATAGACGCTTCGTAAAAAACGGAGTAAATATTGGAGTGGAACAAGTCGGCTGCACGTTACACTGGGGGCCATTCTCCTCGTTGAACCGATATCCATTAACACACTACACATTGAACAATCCAGATGGTTGGCATTCAGAGTTTCATATCTATGAAATGTATTGGAATACGACATCTATAACTTTTTCAATCGATAATACAGTTTTGGGTACTGTCTCTCCTCCAGAAGGAGGCTTTTGGGAACTTGGGAATTTCCCAACTAACATAGAAAATCCTTGGGCAGCGGGTACCAGGATGGCACCTTTTGATCGAGAGTTTTATTTCATCATAAATCTTGCAGTAGGTAGTACCTCGTGGTTTTCAGACTCCGCTCAAAATGACGGTTATCCAAAGCCTTGGAAAAATACAGATGGTCGAGCAAGTATGACTGAGTTCTGGAAGGCAAAAGATTTATGGATGCCAACTTGGAATATGACGACTGACAGTAGTCACTTTCAAATTGACTACATAAAAGTGTACGCGCTGTGAATACTTTTATTAAACATTTATATTGCAAACAATACTTAATTTATTTATGTTATAGCTAGATAGTTTAATTTTTGAAAATTTTGTATATTTATTTAAATAAATTTTAAATTCTTGAAGATGATTTTCTTATTTTTTATCATGACGTAAGTATTCTTTTGCTTTCCTGACCTAAAATACGAAATACACGATTTTTCAGACAGAAATTGTCTACTTGACACTCTTGGCAATTAACACGTTGATCGCCATATGTGGCAAGTGTGCCTCGCAAATATAATGTCTTGCATGTAATGTTTTACTTCAAGCCATGCTGCACAGAATTGCTTCACATTTGAGTAGAAATGTTATGAGAAATAAGAGTAGATGGCCCAATGAACAAATTAAGTTAGTTGGCCCGGCCCTGGATCCGAATATATACGATGATTCGGCTATTTAATTTAATAGTGTACACTTCCCGTCATATAAAACTGGTACACTTTTTTCCCAATGTAAACCTGTGTTCAGACTAGACACAATAGTTCGTGAATAAATTCGTCGATGCCATCACAGATAACACAATTTGAGTAAATTTAAATAAAACGTAAAAAACCCGTTAAAAAAATGTATAAAGTTTTTAGATAGGTATTATTTTTATTAACAACAAAAAACCGTGTCTAATAAATTTAATAACCAGAGAGAGGGTTAAGTTAATATCCAAAATGTTGAACGAACTTTAAACTTAGGGTATTGGCAAAGGAAACATTGGCATGCATCTACTGTAATTTTATACTTCCATTACTTACAGAACACAAACTGTTTACTGTATGTTATGTGAATGTTGAGTCAAAGTTGAGTAACAGGCAAACTACCTAAATTAATTTATTTATTGCAGAACTATAAATGTGAAAAACTAATATTATACTTTATCATACGTAGATTATAAACTATAAAATATCCGGGACAAAAAACGCTTTTCAAAACGTGAAAGTATTACATTATCCTCTTATAACTGTAAAAAATTATTTTATAACTAAAAAATGTTGGTTTAGTATCTACAGATGTTATCAGTGCGTGAAAACTTCAGATCAGATTTTACAAGTTTGTCAAAGTGAATTTTTAAAGATGCCACGTCAGGTAAGTCAGTTTGATAAAACGAGAATAATTTCAAAAATAGAAGATGGTTGGTCTATTCGACAACTAGCTCAAGAGTAAGCAAAAGCACAATCCACAATATTAAAAAAGATGGGAAAACGAGCAGACTTTGTATAGAAGGAGAGGGAGTGGGAGACCAGTTATTACTACAACCTAACACAATGAAACATTAACTAATTATTTAAGAACGTATCTTTAATGCTTCTATAACTACAGCATTAAGGAGAATTAGAAAAACAGATTTAAAAAATTGTACAGCCGCCCGAAAATACAAATTTAGCGAGGAACATAAACAAAGTAGACTCCTATTTGCTTTAAATTACGTTTTAAATGATCCAGTCAATTATTGGGACCGTGTAATTTTTACTGATGAAAAAGTATTCCATTATGATGGGCATATTAGGGTTTATAGACCGCCTCGAAATAGGTTTAACAAAAACTATATTTCATCAAGTCCGGACGGTTCTCTATAAATGTTTGGGCTTGGATGTATAGATCAGGTTTAGGAATGTGTTGGAGAATTGAAGGACGATTCAATACTAAAACCTATTTACATATATTAGATAATGTGATGTTGCCATCACACAGCCCACCGTGTACGGGATTACCTTATGGAAAAAAGCATTGAAGCTTTTCTATGGCCCTCTAAAAAGCCAGGTATTAATCCAATAGAGAACGTTTGGGGACTTATGATCAACAAAATACAAAAATTAAATGTAGTTTCCCAAAACAGAGATCATTTATGGACCATCATTGAAGAAACCTGGGAAAGCTTGGCCGAAGATGAAAATTTGTCACTAAATTTAATTAACTTAGTTCCCAGATATTACAAGAAGTAATTAATAATAATGGAGGGAGCTATGACAAAATATTAACTTTTCGAATTGTAATACATATATTTAAATCCCACACTTGTTCACTGTAAAAATTATTCATTTTTTATTAATTTCAAATTAAATTTTAATTTTCCAGTGGATTTAATTTACTGTAGTATTCCACAACTCAGTACAGTTTTGTGCTACACTTTACGAGAAACCAATCACACCTCTAGACTTGAAATTAAACATAAATTTAAAGTCATGTCTAGATTTATTATCTACCATTATTTTTGAATTGAAATATTTTAATAAATTATAATAAAACACGAATTAATATATGGATACTGAGATAATGGTAAATTAATAGAATTTTTTAAGATGTATGTTTAAATAAATGTATAAATATAAATGTGACTGACTGATCAAGAATGCTCGCTTTAGTTTTTAGTATACTAAAAACTTGCGACCTGCTTTAAGCTGGTTTGATATAATATTTTCGTTGAACTGGCAACGTTGACTTCGAAATTAGAATGACACATGTGACAAGCTCAACTTACACAACTTGAAAAACAAGATTTTCGGTTACCAGAGTTGTACCAGTTTTTTTTGACGGGAACCGTATCTACGTAACCTATGTGAATATATGTATAGGTCACGTAGGTTACGTTTGGAAAACTTTCAAAAAAACTGTTTTTTTTTTGCATTATCTCCTAAACTACTTGACATTTTGTAATAAAAATGGACACGTACCTTTCCTGTTCTGAAACTATTTTTCATACAAACGAAACAACAAAATCTAAGCGCACAGAAACTGGTTTTTCCAAGTTTGCCATAAAATTACAACTAGTTTCTACGGATACAATCACAAACAGTTTCATCAATAATAGTCAATAATTTGAATCTATCATTTATTGTGTGAATAAGATTAATTTTAAAAATTTTGATATTATAATGGCCAACATATTTTTGCTTTTAACTTTTTAACAAAAATATGATATTTCGGCGCATTCGCTTTTCCTTATTAAAACGATACCGAATGTGTATTGAAGAAAATGGGGGTCATTTTGAACATTTATTGTAATATCGTATTTATAAAGGTTGTAGACATTTTTTGTACTTGTTAATTTATTTAGTTGCAGGTAATTTTTAAAGGTTAATAAAAAGGGTCGTAACTCAACAAAAACTGTTTTTTGAAAAAAGCGATAAGAGACAAACAATTTTTAAAAATAATGTGTTAAACTAATGATGTTACAAAATTCATTTAATTTGAACGTACTCAAAATTTTGGCGGGATTTAGGGCTGCACATCCCCCTTAAAATTTTTCTGTGAGCTTAGATTTTGTTGTTTTTTTTTTATAAAAAATTCTTTCAGAACAAGAAAGTAACGTGTACATTTATTTTCAAAATGTCAGGAGATAATGCAAAAAAACCATTTTTATTTTGCAACTTCAAAGTGCTATAACTTTTGTTGTGTACACTTTTGTACTAGGGTAAGTAGGATTCAATCAATTTATTTATGTCCCCGGAATGCGTGATTTAATTTATGACATACCTTTTTGAAACACCCTGTATATGTATTAAAATGTAGTACAATATTGCCAAAAATATAATCCAATATCCGCTTAGATTAGAATTAAGGTTGGCGCCTTTTTTGAACCAATCTGGCCTGGTATGAAATCATATTGTTGTTGTTCATTGTTATTTACTTAATGCGCATTAGTTTAATATTATAATTATTATTTCTGACAGGAAAATTTATCAACTTATGTATTGTATTGTTATATGCAGCTACCTTTTGTCTAAAAATGGAAGAATGGATTAATCCCGATTTGAAGTGTTTATTAATATTTTTTATCTAATGGTCACATCTAGAAAATTCATTTGTTTTTTTTTTGTTGTAAATTTGGAATAAACTAAATATTGGAGTGAATGTTGGTTATATAACTGCCTACCTGAACCTGTAAACAAATAACCAACGTACCGATAAAGGAAGTTTTTTGATATCGTATTATCGTATGAATTTCACATTAATATTATGCATTAATGTCATTTAATTTTATCTCCTATATAAACAGTTAAAAGTGTTTAATAAACAAAGTAAAAAGTTAAATAACGTTTGTGGATAAAATTTAAAGGTCAACTACTGTGAGAATAAAAACAATAACAGTGAACTAATAAATTAAGCAAAAAAGGCCACTAGCTGATATCGACGAAATATACCGAACTGTAACGCGCTGTTATCGGACTTATCCGAATAAAATATACCAGGAATAGAAAAAATAGAAAATATTAGATTAAAATTGTAATTTTTGAAAAAATGTACAATTAACGTCTCAAATAATCGGATAGCAAATAATGGTCATGCATTCTAATCATTATCTATCAGATGAGAATCAATAAAATGGGATCCTATGATGACCGTAGTGAGTACGAGCAGTGATCATTTTTACCTAAAAGTAACAGTGAAGTTGTTAAACTTCAAAAAGTTTACACCTAGAAAAAAATTGCCTAAGGAAACGAAGGGTCAAATTTTTTGGAATTCAACGGACAGTGTTCTGAGTTAGATGTGTTTCTAATATTATTTCCTAGAATAATTATTTACACATATTGCTGATAGTACTAATAAACAAAGCTATTAAAAAGAAAACAGAATTCGAAACTTAACTGTTTCGATGTCGATGAGAGCGACATGTATGAAATTATGATAGTACATGACCTCACTCTTGTGATGTCCTATAATAGGGTGTCGAGTTTTTATCATTACTGGTCCAACAATGAATCATTGTCAAATAGTATAATAAAAACGCTATCGGTAGAGATAGATTTACTTTCCTACTATCAAAAATGTATTATACTGACCCAGCAAAACATCAAAATTGTTGTAAAACATACCATTTAGAAGACGTCGTAAACTATTTAAAAAAACGATTTCAAGATCTGAATCTTCTTACCAATCCATTGTTGAAATGATGGTAAAATTCAAAGCGCGATTATCTCCCAAACAATACATACCTAACAAACCAATCAAGAGGTATCAAATTATGGCAACGATGCGATTCCATGACTTATACACATTAACATCTACTCCGGTAAGAAAATCACAGCACTAGAGTGGACTCTAAGGGTGAGCGCCCACCAAAGTGGCGTGGCAGTGGCAAGTAGCAAGTA